TCTCTAGAGGAAACAGGTAGGATGTCACGAATGTCGTCCCTCCAAGAACAAGTCCTGGAAACTGATGTCCCCCAAGGGTAGAACTGAACGGTGAATATCAACCACGTTTACTGTAATTAGATGATACTAGGCCAAGATCACATGGGAGTTAAGGCCAAGATCCTAGGTGATCCGGGGGTAGTATATAATCAAGAGTCCACATGTGTTCTGAACGAGCAGCCTATATGTTTCTGGAGCAGCCAGGGCTGGCCTGTCAAGGGTTGCTCCGCCTTGATCTCGCTTCCGTGATGCTTTCGTTTGCCGTGTGAGGCGAGTCTTGGCCGAGCACGGAAGTTGTGTCATAGATGGATACATGCTACAGTATCTGGGTCTGAAATTCTCCCTTGAAGCATGGGATGCTCATGATGGATGTCTGGTACCCGATGGAGTCCAGAAGATCCATGCCGATGCGGATCCTCAGACTCACGCCAACCACCAACCGCTGTGTCCAGCGGATCACGAGCTCCGTTCGCCGCTTGCACTGGTGGGAGATGAGGCCGAGAAGCCCGCACGCTTCCATGAATCGTTTGACACGGGCCGATCGCGCTTCCACTGAAGAACCCGGACGTCCATTCTGGGACCAGCAACTAAGACCACCCTAGCATCAGCAGACTAGCACCAGCAGCTTGGAGCAACACCCACCCGTGCACCGCTTCACCCCCTCGACCGAGCTCCCTGCAGGCACCATCGGAGAGCTTGGCATCTGAAGCCCACGATCGCGAGGTCGGCGGGCGATTGTGGGAGTGGGGTGAAGTGAGGCTCAGATTCACTGATGAGAAGACGCTGGTTGCAGCCTGCAGCTTCGGGTATATATGAAAACACCAGAGTTGAGTTCATCTTACGTATACTTACCACTACCCAGACACTCCATATATATGCTGGCATTGACCCCCCCAAACCACCCCAACTGATCGGCATATATGGCAGTCCCATGGAGTGTTTGGGCTATACTTACCCAACGCAATCCCAAGAAGTCCCAAGAGCCTTCTCTTTTGCATGACACAAATCAGGATCGGATCGATTTAGCCTTTCCAAGACGCTCTCTTTGTTTTGGTTTCCCGCCTCATGGTTGACATGTTTTTCATGGGCTGACCGTCTATAAACAAACCCACTGTTTTCTTCACACCGATGAACCAAAGAAGTACTCGTCTCCACACGGCTTGGCTCATCCAGGTGGCCATGGGATTCATCACCATCATAGTTTCGTTGGGAACCTGAGTTGAGACGGTCGCACCATGGCTCGATCGAGCGCCAGGAGACTGGGCACCCACGAGGAGACTGGTCCAACGAGACACCCAAACGAGGCGAGTTCGACGACGATCATGGACTTGGTTGGAAAGAAACGACATGGACGTGGACCCCTTGCAAATGCATTTTGGTGGTTTTGGTCTATTTTCCTTCTTCCAGGGGATCGTTGCCTGGGAAGTACACAACCGCATGTTGGATGTTTAGTCTTGATGAGTCTTCGATCCAGTCTAGTAGTCATCGTTGACTTCGTTCCACCAAATATCATTGTCAACGGTGTACTGTGTGAGGGTGAACTTGATGCCAACGCAACTTCTGAGGTGGGGACATCTTTACCTCCGAAGAATACCTTGAAAGCCACTTACCTTGTATGGTCAAAATCATCCCAAGGAAACACAGAGTGCACATCGGAAAACTTTCCGGGAACCCAAAGATGCTGAAACAAACAACAAGAAGCATCAAGCTTGGAGTTCTATATTATCACTACCCCTAAGTGAGGGGGGACCTGCAAAAAAGTAGGCTACTTTGGATCCTTTGGGCTCACTTGATTTCAATGGACTTAGACATGCATTGCACGTCTGTACAGGAGATGTCCAGGACTCAGACCTCAAAAGGGGCCTACCTAAACGAGTAGGGTCAAACGGTCATCTCATTCGGCCACACGGTGAACTCATCACACAGAAACCGCAAGGGGCCAGAAGTGGTGTTGGGGGGTGCCACCCAAAAGAGACTTCGCTACAAAGACTTAAAGAATTTGGGCCTCGCAGCGCCCAGCAATCTGGGGGGCGGCCCAGCAATTCGGACCACTTCCACAAGCTCGGCTGTATCTCCCATGCTCAGCTGTATCTCCCAGCGGAAGCTGAGCGAAAGCGGAAGCCCCAAGCGACTGGCAGAACCACCCAGGTGGGTTTATAGAACCCCCCCCCCCGCTTGATCCCAATAACACACACCAACTGGGTGGTGCCAGGTGGAAGGATTAAGCTCTTTAGGTCAGGGACCTCACTCTACCTGCACGTTGGTCACAAACGAACATGCTCATTTACTGAGGGTTTTCAAGGTCAGGTTTTTACGTTGGTCTGACTGGACCTGCAGGGTTTGGGGTGCTTGAACAAGGGGTCAATGTAGAGTATACTGTATACATCTGTAAGCGTATTTGAATGGAGTGGGCCATGGAGTGGGCCCATGGAGTAGGGAATGCTCCGCCGCACGCGCCACCACGCCACCACTGGGCCGTCCGAGCAATCCCCCAATAGGCGCATGAGGGGTTGGACTCGTCGCTACCTGCCCAGTTTCCGGGTGGAGTCGAGAAAACCGGACCGCGGAGGGGTCGGTGGCGTTGGAGGAAATCCAGAGCAAACCCTTAGTAGTAGTGGGGTACGTGTTTCATGGATGGTGGATTGGATGCAAACATCTGGGGTGTCGACATCGCAACAACTCAAGCACACGGCCGTGGGCTTCGGCCGTGGGGTTCCGAACGATGTGAAAAACGGATTTCTGTCGTCACTGAGCCGGTGCATCTGAAAGGCAAAGGCTATCGACGTGTGGAACAGCCCAGGAAAAAGACCATGGCTTCTCTAGAAACATGGTGCAAAAGCCCGGAAAGAGCTGCCCGAACCAAGACCACCCTGGCCCCTTGTTGATTGTTGGTGACCCTTGATGATTCGAAGGAACGCTCGAAGAACAAGCGTCGAAGAACAAGGGGGCCTTGCCAGTTGATGCCAGTTGGTAAGCTGCTATACTCTCATCATCTCAGCACCTGAACAGGTCTCCCTACTGGGGCCTAGAAAACAGGTCACCCATCGACAACTTCGAGGACCATTGCGCTGATTTGCGCTGCCCAGGAAGCTGCCGAGCCTAAAACATAGACTCTATGACATAGACATTGAAAACGAAGCATGAAAAGATCTGGATGACTTGGATGACTTTGTTGTCAAACCCAGGTGTCCACAATGTCCAACGACCCTCAAAACCATGAACAAAAAGGGAAGCTGACTCAACAAAGGAAGATGTCCAACCACTCTATGTATGGAATATGTATCCAATATTGACCCTTGAAACCACCCCATGCATGTGTATGACGGCACATGCAGGGGGTTAATGGACATCCCTTGACCTCTAGGGGGCCATTACTAGATACCCCTGAGGGTGGGAGATGCCACCACCCCCACACATCCAAAAGACCCCACGAGCGTCGACACCCCATGTCCATCGACACCCCGTGACGTGTCCGTACGCGGCGCACCAAAGTAGATGATCGTGTAGTTTTGGGCCTCGGTGGTTCGAACCAATTGGGGGAGGCTCTCTCCTGCCAATTGCCAATACCGTATGCCATAGCCCATACTCTGAATCCACATACCCTCTCGGAGCGTGATTCAGCTTGGAAGGTCCTAAGCACCTGAAGATACCTGAAGATATGTAGATCCCCGAGGAACATCTGAAGACCTCTTTCACCGCGAAGTCTACCCCTTTCTTGGCCGGACCGCAACCGGAACCGGAACCGGAACTCCCGGAAAGAAGGCGATTCCTTCCGGCGGACGTAGCAAACAAGGAAGACACCAAGTGTCAAGAGCCGAAGTTGGCATGTCTCAAGACATTGGCTTCTCAAGACGCGGAAGTTGGCCAAAGTTGCTGGTTTTGTGTGGTTTTCTCTAATAAACATGTTCCGGCGCTCATGTTGTGCGATCAGCCGCAAAAGAAAGGCTGTTCATGCCCTCCCCACAACCTCTATCTCTCAAATCCCATCTGGTGCCGACCGGGGCTCCCGGCGTCCATCTGAGGTAATTCAGGCTCCGTCTTCCCGTGGGGCGCAACGACGACCAGGCGACAAGGCACGACCACGCGACAGCAGCTGGCTCGAGCCGCGAGAGAGCGGTGGTCGATGCGGTTTCTCCAAACCGGTGGTCGACGCTGGACCTTCTCGTGCTGGTCGAGCCTTCAGGCTTTAGAAGAAAACACATTAAAAACATGCCGGGACTGTCGCGCATCTTCCAATCTGGGAAGGTACCTAACTGCATGGTGAATGAATGGTGTGGTACGGGACCTCAGTGGGTGGCTCTTTCAGGCACTTAGTGGACACTGGGCAAGACCAATCACGTATCCTGACAAACCCAAAAAGGGCTCCCGATCAGTATATCCTGAGGGTCTGCTGGATACCTGTGTTTGCAAAAGGATACAAAAGGTGGAAATTTCAGACTCTCTGTCTTTTATGCTTGTTCATGCTGCGGACTTCGTGACAAGCAGGCGGACTTCCATGTTTCAAAGCGAGAAGAAATTGAAGAACCGGTGGTACATAACTCTTCGCCTGCAAACAGAATATCTTTTCAAAATCGCTTGGGCGGGGGTTTCACTCTTCAGTACCTTCACCCAACGTTATAATATATCACAGCACGAAGCAGCCCTGCTTTTTCAGCCATCGTCGCCACGTCCAATGCGTAGCGCACAGTGCGGGCGGCGCCTATGGTATCCACTGTACACGAAACGAAAGGACGCGCGCCAAACAAAAGGCCTCCGCATGTGGCTGTTACCGCTCACTGTCAATTGGCAACATGCGGAACTATGCTGACCCCACAAGGCAAGAACACTCCTATTCCGATATCTGGTGGGCTTTTGTGTTTTAACATGAAGGAACCTGAACAAATCTTAAGAACTTCGGGGGATCCATGTCCCCTCACCAAGACCCGTTTGCGGCGGTGGTTCGTTCGCCCCTCACGCCGCGCTCAGCCCCTGCGGTGCCGGAACCAGGCCCCCGCGATCCTGCGCGTCGCGTTGGATTGAATCTCCGAAACGTCCTGGACCCGGGTGAACCTGAGAGGATCGAGTCGGAGGCGGAAGGCACGGCCACGAAGGAATTTGGTTCAGGCCCACGTCAAACTGCTGTAAGATAAGGATGTGAAGGAATATTGTAATTAAGCGGATGTGTCAGAATTCACGAATCAGACTTGAATACTGACTCAAGAAGAATTGAATACTGACTGACTGAATTCAATCAGATTCTCCTTCAGTTCCGATCAGTCAGAATTCGAGTCAGTCCGTCCCGGCCCTTCTCCAGGTGCCCCGGACGTCAACACCTGGCGGTCGCCGCTGCCTCCGGCCTCCGGCCTCCCCCCCCCCGACACACACACACACACTCGATCGAGTTCGACAATGTGACGAAAAGCATTCCAAACCTTCAAGGTTAATCATAGGTTAAAAGCCCCGTAGAAAAAGCAGCTGTCATTTGACCATCTGCCCTTAGTGGAGTCAATAATTAGGACTGTATAATGCAGATTGACCGAAACATATCCAAACCACCCCACCTTCGTCGAGGTGTGGATGAACAGGACACAAACTATTATCGATATATAAAAGAACACATCCCCCCAAAAAGAACCTCCCATGAAGTCCACGTGTTCTGTTTTGGCACCTCTTCTTTGCCACAATGGCTCTTTTTAATGCGTCTGCAAACTTCTGGCTGTGATCCAGGATTCTTACAGTAATACAGCTTGCATATACAGGTCAAAGGATTGTTTTTCAAAAAGAGACGGCACATGACAACACTTAACAAAGCAGTCCGTGTCCTGAAAAGCAAGTCGGTGTCACCAGTGGACGAGGTTTCAGGTTTCTGTGGTCCTGTGACTTGCAGAACTGCCTGGAACCCCCATCAAAACGCACGGATGCTCCTGCTTCATTGATCTTCAGCTGTACACATCGCCCCCAAAAGCAGACGCAAAAAACTGCATGCGTCAGATGTCTATATAGTGATCCCCAAATAGATATTGGCACCGGTTTCCAATACATGGTCAATGCACGTGCAATGGTCGACCGCTTTTGGGCAGGACATGAATCACGCCCGCACGCCCCGATGAGATGTTTCTGATGGGTCCTCCCGTGTGCGTGGACCATGTGGGTGGCACCCTGGAATAATTTTCTTATTATTCCAGGGTCATGCACATACACGCGTGTAAATTATTCCTGGTGTATCCCACACAGTGGAATAATTGATGCAATGCATAGAGCTCATATGCTTGGCTATGCTTAGAATTCGGGGGGGGTCATGGCCTCCTCAAGCAGGAAATGTTTGGAGCCGATCCTGTAGGGCAGGAAGTGAGAGTTATGGCCTTCTAAAACAGGAGAGGCTTGGAGCTGATCCTATCTTTCTTTCTTTCAAGTGGACACTTCGATTGGACGGACCGGCAGGATTGAATTCGGTTGTAGGCCTTAAAGAGCGCCAAGATCAGTTCTGAGATTCACAAGGATCGTCACACCAAACACAAAATACTTCTGATGTCTAACAGGAGTTGGTGGCCCCAGAATAATTTTCCCGTTTGTGGAGAGGTTGGTGAGGGGTGCAGGGAGGTGGGCTGTCTGTGTCTGGCCGTGCCTTCACAGGGCCTGGGGCCAATGTGAAGATACTACCGACTTCGTTGCCAGTCTCAATTGTCTCACCCACTTTCGATGTTTGATAATATTCGGCAACGATCTGCTACTTGGAGGCCTAGCTTCTCCCAGTGGGTGCATTCCCTGAGCACAGGAGCAATTTGTTCTGATGTCCAACAGGGGTTGGGGACCCCAGAATAATTTTCTCATTACTGGTGGCCGGTGTGGGCAAAGTGTGCAGGGAGGTGGGCTGTCTGTGTCTGGCGATGCCTTCACAGGGCCAATGTGAAGATACTACCGACTTCGTTGCTAGTCTCAATTGTCTCACCCACTTGCGATGTTTGATAATATTTGGCAACGATCTGCTACTTGGAGGCCTAGCTTCTCCCCTGAGCACAGGAGCAATTTGTTCTGATGTCCAACTGGGGTTGGGGACCCCAGAATAATTTTTTCATTACTGGTGGCCAGTGTGGGCTAAGTGTGCAGGGAGGTGGGCTGTCTGTGTCTGGCGATGCCTTCATAGGGCCTGGGGCCAATGTGAAGATGTGAGAAATTGGTATATGGCGTGTTTGAGCCAGAATCTCGAATCATTCGCCAGCTCTGCATTGTGAACACAACGACTTCCAAAACAGCTGATTCGATCTGTGAAGTCTGGAGGCGCTCCCTTAAACAATTATTCTGCGGTAGGCAGAGGTTCGTCAGGATTATTATTCCATGGTACCCCCTGGTCTGGGTTCTCCATGGTCAAAATAAATTATTCCAGAAGTGTTTTTTTTAGAATTATTCCTGGAAAATTATTCCTGGGGGTTACCCGGACACTGGAATATTTATTTAAGGGAGCGGCCATTGTTTCTGGGAATCGATGGGGCTTCTTTGCCTCGACTCATCGATTCCCAGAGTCGACCATCTTACCCTCTAGAATCCACCATACCACAACCAGGTTTGTCCGGTGTATCAGGCGCAAATCCGGTAGACTCTCTTCCGATTGCGACCCCTGAAAACTATCCTTCAGAACTGGTTGAAAAGTCCCGACCCCCCTGAACACTCGGAGAAGCCCAGCGAACCAGAAGACCACTCCGATCAACGGATCGACGCAAGACCCACGGGGGGTGAGAAAGCTCGGTTCCACCTCCTCGGGCACATCCTTCAGCTTCACATGTTCCTCCAGCTTTCGATCCGTGCTCAGCTGCACCTGCCCCCGCCGGAGCCTCGGAAGCGGTTTCAGCGCTTCCTCCGCTGACCTTTGGTTCGTAAGCGGAGGAAAGCGTGGGAAGCTAGCTTGGTGTCCGTCATAAATAGAACCTATAGATGCGTTTCAAGGTCCTTCAACTTTCCTTGTACTGTATATATGATTTGATGAAGGTGTCTCCAAAATGACGTGAGAGTTCCTGAGTTTTCTTTCTTGTTATATATTTATACATATAATATATATTTATTGTTTGCAGTGCGAGATTTATCACCACCCCTTTTGGGCATTGCACTATTACCAAGAAGACTGAGCGGCAGAGTTGCAAATTTAGTTCAAAACTGGTTACAGTAGATGGTCAAAATGACCATGTGTTCACGTATATAGCTCGCGGGCACAGACTCTGTGAGAGCGTGACACTTGGAAAACAAATACGACCTACACTCCCTGAAATCAACATGTCGCTTTAAAGTAGATGGGATGGCCCTCAAAGCATGACCATTTTGCGAATACCAAACAGGTGGGGAACTCCACGTAACCATATGGTGGTTGATCAATATTCTTTCATCCTGGAATGGCCATTCATCGCGGAAAAAAAGATATCTTTCGCGGATCTTTCGCGGCCTCATCGCGAAGCATGGTCCTACAACCATGTCTAGCCAACAGGAGCCGGAACATGTCATAGCTAGCATCACAAAATAGGGAGAGACATCTTGCAGCATGACCCCAGTAGATGGTTGAACGTTTCCACAGCTACTCAGGGTCACTTGCAGCATCTGTTCGACACTTGTGCCAAATAGAGTCAGGCACAACTCAACCCAATCCTCGTGCCAGCTACCAACACAGGGTGATACAGCTTGGGGAATGTTGGGGGGCCTCAAGCTGGGAACCTAGACTTTAGCGGCACATTCGCGAAACTTTCGCGGATCTTTCGCGAAATTTCACTGGTGCTTTCCCCGGGAAGCCGTAACATTTGCAAACATCTGCGCAGCCCGTCAGAGCAGCTGCAGGTCGTTGCCTCACTGTCAGGGCTGTGCCTACCCAGATTGCTAGCCAGTGACAGTGGGGACAGGAATCGGAGAATCCTTTACGTACTGCCAGGGCTCGGCACGGAAATGTTGAGGCTTCAGTTCGTTAGTCTGTGACATATGGGGACACTTCCGCCCACTGGCTCTGCCGGAGGATTGCCTTGCGTTTCTATTCTTTGTCAGTCCGGTAGAAAGAAAAACAATGAAAGCGATGACCTTCGATAAATCTTTCGCGGAAAAAAAAGATACTTTCGCGAACCTCATCGCGAATCTTTCGCGGATGGTTCTAACAACATCTGAAAGGCTGTTTTATATAAAACTCCTTACACGGGGTTTTCGATCAACTCCCATATGATTCTTGCAGGGAGTATAGTGCCATCATGGCACAATATTCTTTTTGAACAGCCAATGTCGAAACAACCCAACACCTCTCCGCTGTCGGAAGCTCGGCCCGCGAGTACCAGGTACGGCACCCGTCTCAGAGTAGATGGTACAAACCCAAAGATGTCCACATGCTACACTGACACTCAAGAGCCGCTCATCACCGGTGCAAAACAACGTCGGAGCGATGCAAAAAAAACATCTGTTGCACCAGGTATCGGAAATGCAAAAAAAAGTCGGACCAAAAAACGACGGAGGAACCTCAGAGGTTTTTTTTTACTACGGAGGACGGCCAGGGTATATATATTCACCTTTTGGGGATTGTGCAATCTACTCTGAGACCAATGACGGCAATGTGAAGAATCTCTTCACCTGCCCAGCTCCCAGCACGAGGATACGTGAGTGTTTGGTTGGGAAACCAAATTTCCAAACATCAATCATCACACTCCAGCTAATTCCAGCTATACAGCATCTTGGCAATAAAGTCCATTGCATGTTAATTTCGCGTACCTACAATAAAGAGGGTTAAAGTTAAAGTTTGTATATTTTCAGTCCGGGGGGTAATCCGGATGAACCCACACTCCAAAAAGAAACACATCATCCGAATCCCAACTCTCCCACCGCCTGGCGCTCTTTTGTGGTCGTTCGGCAGTTCGGTGGTTCGCTAGAGATCCGGGATCCCCCGGCCCTTTCGCATTGGCGATCTCACCCTTCAACTGGTAAATGCTGAGGTCCTCCATCGGTCGGCGCGACGTCGGCTGACGTCTGTGGCCCAAACCATCCGGCCGAAGGGGTGATGACGGTGATGACCGACCGTGAAGGTATGAAGACGTTTTGGAACTAGCATGTGTTTGTTTCAAAATTTCACCACGTATATGCTGTGATGAAGTCCTTTCTGTAGGTGTGGCCAGGTTGGGAGCCTCCAATGATCGTTTTCGTCGGTTTTGATGGCTCTTAAGCCTTGTTGGACAGCTTGACTGAGGCTGTTCTTCAGGCGGCCACGCACGCTTTCCTAACTCGAAGTAGAGTCCCAGCCGCTTCTGGTGCCCACTTGTTTTTGCTTTCGATCTTGGAGCTTACTATAACATGGAGACCCCGATCGCCCCATTGGGTCGGGCAGACGGGTCTATTTCCCTTCTGGGAACGGAGAAATCTGGGAGGTCTCCCTAGTTTAACACACACCCACATATTGAAATCCTGCACCTCCCTCCATCCAGTCTGGTCATACCCAAATCCTTTGTGATTGGTCCAAGTCTCTGTCACACAGTGGCAGCTTTTGACACGGACACGATCCGGGAGCAAATAGCACACTAATCACGTCATGAATCATGTCCAAAAGAATTAACCTTGTCCTAAGGGTATCCTTTGATTCCTTTCCATTTACCTAGACTTGCTGGGATATGCCAAAAAGTTGCCTTCGTCTCAGTTTATCTTTTCACCATGTGAATACAACGATCGCCTCCCCAAGTTGCAAAAAGACAACAACATGCCAAGCAAGGCACTGCATTTTGAAGGAGAAACCGGAAACCGGTGGTTTTGTGGAGGTGGAGATGGACCAATGTTATATACCAGTTTCCGGATTTTCAGATGCAAGTTGTGTGATTGGTCCAGTCCAACAGTTAGTTTCCTTACACCTGAGAAGTTAACATTGAACCTGAATTGAACCGAGCACTGCTTCATCATGCCTCGCTGGAGCCTTCCCCCCAAAAAAAGATTAGATCTTCTAGTCCAAAGAGAACCCTGACCTATACTACTCTCCGTCCAAACCTCTTAGGGCCCAAACACGAACACCGCTCCTCTCTCAGCTCCGCTTCATAGATCACCTCGCCTCCCACAGCTGGGGCAAACGGGGACCGTGGAGTTAAGCACTCTAAAGTTTGGCTGCGCACGTCATGACGGTGAAGAGAAGCATGTAATCCATTTTGCAAAGAAGAAGTCGCCATGTTGCCATCGACTTCGCGCCTGACACAGGGCCTATACATCAACAGGATGTTAGAAATTGGGGATTGTCTTGACATGTCTTGACCAGGCACCCCAAACACTGTAGGCCCTTCAGAACGCGCTTCGATTCTTAGTTCCACATCACTTCTCTCCTCTCCCCACGACCCAACCGATCGAGCGCGCCAGCAGCTCGGACCGGTCGACGTCGCGACGCCCCGAGCACCGCACCGGACAGAGCCACCACGCTGATGCATCGGCCTCGGACCAGATCTCGTCGACCGGTGGGTCACCGGTGAAACGGAGCGGACTGACCGGGGTGAGGGACGAGCTTCACCGGAAAGAGGATGTCGATAGATGTCGATAGCTGCAGGTGTGTATAGCCTTAGAAGTCCATGTGGACCATATTTTGACCTGAAGTACCCTGAAGTTCCCTTTCAGGTCACCTAGAGATAATTCGTTTTGTGGGCTTTGATTCCCAGCTTCGGATGTCTTGATGAGAAAGGTGAAGTAGAAGCCGCTGACGAGCTGCTGGCCGCGCCACTGCGCCAGAACTCAAACGATTCAAACTCCGTGGAGAAAACAACCAAAAAAACAAAACATGCACACTATTGAATAGCGGACTTCTATAAAATATAGTACATGTTGACCTATATACCCCCGAAGTCTAAAGACTATATTTTGACCGGCTGAAGTAAAGGAAGTTCCCTTTCAGTTCCCCTATAAAGATCATTATTTTTATAGTCTTTGACTTCCAGCGTATAGATCATAGGTTCTTATAATATATTTGCTTGTATTCTTGTTACCCTCGCTCTGTTGTCCAACAAATTTGACTGGCTCCCATGAATGTTTTGCGGGTCAAAACCCAAGCTATCAGGGTCCAATGAGCCCCTGGGTACCAAAAAAGTGTCTCCGCCGAATGCCCAGCCCACGCCGCATGCCCCGCCGCCTGTTTTCGCCTGGTCGAGCTGGTGTTTGTTTTGCCGCGATGGGAATGATTTGTGTTTTTTTGACCAAGATCCTTTTGGTAAATATATTGTAGCCACGAAAGCGATTGATGTCGGTGGTCTCAAGGAGGGAATTATGTTTTTGCTTCATCCCTGCTGTCATTTCCATACTGTCAAGCCAAAAGACTCAAGGGAAAAAAAAAGGCAAAAAAGCAACTGAGGTCTAATGAGATGAGCAGCTTGCCTTTGAAAAACACACTCCCACGCACTTTGTTAAACGCACTTCCCCATCTCTCCAACAGATCCCGTTGACCATATATGAATGACGACCCCTGTGGCTTCAGCCAGCCCATTGACCAACAGCTCCGGTGCATCAGAGTGGACCAGTGAAAAAACCATCGACCTGTCGACCTGTCAGCGCGAGATGAAACAGGAAACCCCTGGCAAACACAGTGATAATACATGCCACCATGTGCCATGTGCCAACTGTTTGGGCCATCAACCATCAACGAAACAGTGCTTATTGTGCTGTTTGGTTGTTCTCTGAATCCAACCGGTGCACCACCTGCTTCACGGCGACGCGGGTCGCCGTCCGCGACCGCCACGCTCGCGACGCGCCAGCGATCACCTGCTCCCGGCGCCGCAGGGCTCGTTGGATCTGTCGCGCCGCCAGGTCCCGTTTTTCGGAGGCGGTTGCGGCCTGGTGAGCGGTGGTTCTGGCGACGGATGAGATGGGTGAAGAGCGAAAAGGAGCACGGACAGACATGGCATGACATGGTTTGATTGGTTCAGACATGGCACATTCTTCGTCTTATAGCGGAGGACAATTGTTCCATCTACGTTTTTTCGTTTTAGGTTTGGGTACGACATGGTACGACACCAATGGCCCAAATATTCCAAACAAGAAGCCGCATAGCAGGACGCATCCTAGCAGTGTCCAGCTCCGACGGAGCTCAGCACCACTGGACCTAGTGGGTCCTTGAAGGGTCGTTTTCGTCTTCCGGCGGTTTCGGTGTGAGTCTTCTCCCGGAAGGATCGAGAGTGAAGGAGTCGACACGTTGAAAAACCCCGGAGCAACGTTGACACATCGACTACTTGCTGAAACTATATTGAAGAAAAGAAAAGGCAGAAGGGTTGTCCTTGTTCAGATTTACCTCCTGTTTCAGGATGCTACTGCTTGGATGCCTTTCTCTTGGCCCGTTGACACAGCTCCACTTTGGGATCTGTTGCCAAAAGAATTTGGCGACTTGGCTTGGAAGTTTCCGACCAGTACCCTGCAAGTCTTGTACCCGAAGAAAATGGTCAGAAGGGTGCACAGGTTCGCGCACGGAGTGTTTCCTTGAGCCCTGGCAGGGGACAAACTTCCGATTTCTGCAATGTTTGAAGAAGAGTTCTGGGCGGCAACTGCCTGATCCGCGTCGTTCCTAATTACTTTTTCATTTATCGCCATGGGGCCACTGATGCACTCCCACAATTAACAAATGTCAGCTTCACTGCCTTCAAATGGCGCTCTTAACATGCGTAGAACTGCAGAAATGATCATCCTACATGTTAAGAGTCCCTTCGTCCTCCAGGATGGAGCACCTGCCTTCGTCCTCCCTTCGTCCACCTGGCGTTCCATCCTCTCCTTTGCACCCACCAACCGATGGCAGGTGCTCGTTCACCCCGCCCGGCCCCGCCCGCCCGACGTCCGGGCCTCCCCACCTCGCTGGCCATTCGGAGCAGGGGCGCGGGTTGTGGAGCCGGGACGTCTTCGGACCGCGGGAAGTCTGGGGATGGAGACAGACAGAGAACTCCCGGCAGGTCTCTTCGATGGGAGCCGGCTATAGATTGACCTATCGACGTCTATCAGAACGAGGTGAATGTCTTGATTGAGACTTCGGAACACGCTCTGAAACCGTCTTCGTGAAACCGGATGTTCAACCAACGAGCTCCTCAAACACCACACGAGCCACTGAGAGCGGGTCGAAAAAGTGAAGCAACACCACACGGATCTCCGAGATCACCAACCCTATAGGCCTCCAGTCGTACCTCCAAAACGGTTCAGTATGACTGGAACCAACAATAGCAACCACCTTCTAAGCCCACCTTCTTAGAAGGTCCGACTGGAGCCCTAGGGCAAGTGTAACTCCAACTGCACACATCGTCTCTCTTGTGAACGTTCCTCAGCCTACTCCACTGGGAGGGCCAGCTTCTACCATTAAATGAGGAGTTGTTCATCTAACCAGCAGCCATAGTTATGTTATATCACTTAAGGTTGAACCATCATCGATTCCACAGCCTGCACTTCCATCCAAACTTCATCCAACACTATAACATACTATAACACTACCTGCACTCCCTGCGATAGCTTGAGTGAACATCAGATCCCTTTGACTGGGCCCGGGGATGTTCCGCCATGAACGGTCGATGGCATCACAGCGAATCACACCCTTTGGGATAGAGCTTCAACAGGGTTCCCCAAATAGAAAGCATACACACACAAACCTGTTGTTGTAAATGGGTGCGGTACCATCATAATATGTATTATGTATCATAATCATTCATAATCCAGCAAACCATCAGCTGAGGTCAAAATTTATGCTGGCCTTTTGAGATTGTCACAAAAAGGAGATCAGTTGCAAGGAGGTACACCAGAAATAGTTTCTTCTCAGAATTCAACTCAGGGCCCAAAGCCACTGGTTGTATGCATGTTGGATCTTCTGCTGGTCCTACTAGCCAATCCGGGATTCATTATTGCGATACATGATCGACATAAAACCCACATCATACGATCAACAAACTTCCACAACAACTATTACATCTATTTCTAATGGTGGAACTGTCTCTGAAGGTGATGGAATTTTGAGCTAAAAAAGACATTCATAATATAGAAAACATCTAAAATCATCCGTCCACACCAAACCCCACGGTCGGACACCCCTTCATGGACACCCCTTGGATACTTACTCTAAGGAAAGCTCCTTTCGCCCGGGTCTTTCAAGTGACAACCCTAAGTACTTCGGGCCTCCGGCCTTTTCAGGGCCGACATGAACGGCGCCCAGACCCCCCCGGGCGCGCGCGCTTCCGATCGACCCCGCTTTTTTTGTTTGGGCGAACCCGAAGACCCGACGCGGTCGGGTCCAGTGTAGCGGCCGCCGCCTGAGGCCGGGTTCGACCGGGGAACAGGTCGATCGTTCAACCGGACCGCTGCAGGTGGCTACGAGTAGGGGTGGGTGGAGGATCTGAGAAGTTTTCGGGCTTCGATGTTTGGACCTGTGGCGCGTTTGGGCACGTGGAACACAGCGACCGACCTTCCTTGCAGATCACAGCCATGCTGTTTCCGTTGGTAGTACTACTATCAGCCTGAAAGGGCGGTGTCTTGGTTTTTCTGTTTCTGAGCTCCGGTATGCCCCGCCAGGTGTCTCCACACATTCACCGCGAGAACAGAACAAGAAACACCACGTGGCCGTCCTCGCACCGCGCGCGCGCGCGCGCCTGGGTCAATCGATGTCGGGCCTTGTTTATCGAGGGCGGCGGTCGGTTCGGTTCGGGAGCTTTGGAGAATCAAAAGGGGCAAAGCTAGTGTCAATTGGATCTGATGCCGGAGTGGGTTGCTCTGCTGAAAATGCAAGACCACATTGCAGATCAAAGATGCTTTTCATGTAGCTCAATTGGACTTGTTCATTTTTTATACCGCTTGCCGAATCATGTGGTTGAATGTGCGAGATTTTGCCCGAAAGATCCCAAAAGTATAGACATGCACGTAAAAGCAAAACTGTACATTCCAATGTGCAGGTGTTTATTGGGAATCAGTCACTCGTTATGGTCCAAGGTGTTGATTTTACTTGTATATAGCATAGCAGTTGAAGACTACCTGTAGCACAGTGATGAAGTTGATCTTTCTCGTTGTTGCCATAGCGGTGCAAAGCACTGAGCCCATTCCAGTAGTGAAAAAGGTGCAAAAGAAATGAACATAAATGAACCGCACACCTTACATACCTTCTCACAAGGTCCTGGCACCTACATAACAGTGTCTCACAGGATCCCGAAATATAGTGGCTGGGATGCACTGGGGGTGAATGGATCTCCTTTCAGCGTTGCCCGGTTTGTCACGGTCCACAGTTCGCGAGCCGGGGGCTCCCAGCTGCAAATGGCTCTTGCCGGCGCGCCACAGGGTCGTCCTCCTTTCAGGCACTTTCTCCTGCAAAAACGGGGGGGATGTGATGCGCTTGGCCTCAAAAGGGTTGGGTTGGAAAACATGGAGAGCGCCGAGATGTTGCAGATTGGATGATCAAAGGTGCTTAGGGGTATTGGTCTTGATCAAGTCATGAAGAATCTCGCTTGAGACTAACAGGATCCAGACTGTCCAGACTGACCCTCTTAAAGAATCCAGTACCGACTGTAGAGGATCCGGATCGCAGAACTCTTCCTGGATGGGACCGAGTCGCATGGGTCAGCCCAGCTTCAGCCCGTTTTGCAAAGAAAGGCATCCCAATCTCAAACACGACCTGTCTGGGACTGCCAGGACGGACTGCCAAGCAATTGACCACCGCAAACCACCCCTGGCCTGAGCGGCAGTCCCAAACAGGTCGTGTCTGGGAATGTCGGTACTAATGCCGGACTGCGGGCATCTCTGATGAGCCAGGCCCGAGGTCAAAATCCCTGTGGCCGCGGTGTTTGGCCACGCGAGGGAGAGAGCCATCCACTCACTAGTTCAGCTGACCGAAGTTCAGTTCATGTGCGAAATCCATCAGCCAATCAGCCCATCGGAATTCATGCAGCCATCATGATGACCCTCGCCGCCTCAAGGAGGCCGTACTTGTGCCGCAAGCAGAAAATCTCAGCGGGGAGAATGGGGAGATCAGGGTCTCGAGCGGGGTGGATCTTTCGTGCTGGATCACATGGAATTCCCGTATGTTGTCCAGCAAGCAACCAACTGAGAAACGTACCGCCCAGAAATGAGGTCCGGTCTTTGCAGGATTTTGTACAGCTTCTCCGAGGTTTTGATACATGGGACTAGGATGTTCTGATGAGTCTTGCGGGATCAGACATCATGGGGCACTCAGGTGACCTGGGCGATCTACTTATATAACTAACTTGCAAAAACACAAAGGTATACAGGCCAATCATGGGAGACTCTCTTCACATTGACGGTCCATGTCTCTCCCAACACCCCTTTCTTCACTCAGGGTCTCTCTACCGTCCAGCTCCTCCAGCCGGTGGCCACCCACCGGTCTCTCCCCCGGTCTCCCACACGACTCTCTCTATACACACGGTCCGTGCCACCAGGGACATCCGGACGGGGTTCACGTTCCACCAATTGAAGGCCGTGGCTTTCTCGGCCTTCGAAACCCCGGAGGGTTGCAAAAACCAGGCCGACTGCAGAGGGGAGAGCGGAGAGCGGTGTGGTTTCCGGTTCTTTTTTGGGGTGTTCGGAGAACATGGGAGAACATGAAGTGCGCACGCTCAGTTCTTGGGGTTTGCCGCATGCCATGTGTGTTAAGTCATTCATTGGATCCCAAAACAGATCAAAAAAGCAACACCCGGCCACCAGGGCCGCGTGTTGGGGGGATTCAAGACACGAATAGTAACCGATTCCCTGAAGGGGGGAGCCCCACTGGACTTGAGATCCCAACCTGATGGCCACAGTGGATTGAGAGTAGATTGCACAATCCCCTTGATGTCCTTTCACAATATAAAATGACATCTTTGGGTGCCAGGCTGCCCTTCTTTTACTCTGAATTCTGTATATCTTTGGGACCTCCGCCCTGCTCCGCCATGCCCTTCGCCATGCGCTCCGCGCGAGGTGTACGCAAAAGGCCCGGCCTTTTCGTACTCCTTATCTTCGTACCACACCTCGAAGCTGGGGATAAGATCCTACTTGTCTTAACCATTCATCAGAACCATGCTAGGTCCGATCCGGTTCATGGATGTCAGATATAAATGACATCTCTATAAATAGAACCAGCACCTCCCGGTCTGCCCTTGTAACACATGAAGAGCTGGACTGGCCCATCGGTCGCCATGTCACGGCTCCGCACCGCAGAAGTTCTCGTCATCCAGCTCCACAAAAGCTTGCTGCAAGGTTTACCCAGCTGTGACACAATTCCAAGAGATCACATAAAAATAATGCCCTTTCCATCCACTAAGTTGTGAAAAGGCCGGTCCCTTCTTGGTTCCTTTAGTGGATTGATTGCATTACCTCAACAGCCTCGATCTTCGTCCCTGCTTTCAGCCGCGGATGGAACTCACTCAGGTCCCCCGTACGTGGACTTTCTTGTCCGCTCGCACGTGGATGCGCCTCCGCTTCCGCGCGCACCGCTTCCGCGCACACGCGCCGTGGACCCAGCCGACATGGACGGGTTCCCTTTCGGACTGTTCTTGAACGTGGTCATAGAAAAAAAAAAAGAAACTATACTTTATTAAGGAACTGAAGGATGCAAAAGACCAGCTTTTACTGGGTCCGTGGACTTGTAAGTCTCGGACTTTCGTCTGCAGAAACAAAATCCAGGCCAGATGGGTTTTTCCCTTCACATCAGCTTCACATCCTTTTCTAGCCTGTGTGACACTTTGTATGAAAAGGCGACTATACTCCAAAGCATCTGACGAGCTAGTTCTGTCTGTGGCTTCTTGCCATGCAAATCCTAGCAATGGCCTCCAACCTACTTGCGATGGCCTCACTAGCAATCATGCTATACCACACAGATATATATACAGACACACTGCAAGTCGCGAGTGTCTTCAGTCAGTGTTTAGGTGCGATGGCCGAGCTCAGCCAAGGCGCGTCTCTTGGTGCAAATGTATCATGAAGATCAATGACACCTCAATCTGTCAAACGCGTTTGTTCAAACAATAAACTCATCATGGCATGTTCAAGCATGGGGAAAGTACCGATCTTAAGAGAGGCCTATTGTTTTCCCTATTACACCTCAAATTGCTCCAACCAACGGCTTTTCCACTGTGGAACCCACGCGCCACAACTGGCTGCTCTGTCATGAGGATGTGTTGGTCGACCGAATCCCGCCACGTGGGTCATTCACGTGAGGAGAGTGGTGGTGCCCTGGTGGTGGGAGCACGATTCGCACGATCTCTTCGTCCCAGAGTGGCGTCTCACTGGGACTGGGCTCCGATCGCGCCATGTGATCGAAATCCCTCTGAAAACTCGGTGAAGGTGGGCCGGGTGGGTGCGAAGACAAGGGGTCAGTGTCCAAGAATTTCCTCAGGATTATGGGGCGTTCGGAGCCTGATATATAGGGAATTTTCAAGCATCTGGGGTTGACATAGACTCTTTCTTTGTTGGCTGTGAATTCGGTTCCTTTTGTCAGTTCTTCGTCATGTTCAGGAACCGTTCTTCATGTTCTTCACCGTTTCGGATGTCACATCGACATGACATGACAGCGGGCAGGCTGGGCAGAGTTCGCGTGATCGCGACGTCTCCGAGGATGCTGCATGAGTCGAGTCGAATGGACGTCTCACTCTTAGCTTGTGTGTCTCATGGTGGTCCCAGTAGCACACGCGACACGCAAGTCATAGGATTCCGAACTTCATACCAAATCTTACTATCTACCAGGGGCGCCACACACCATCAAAAACCTGGTTTTCCCCAGCAACAAGCCTGCTATGTATGTGTGAACACCTTGATTCTTTCATGGTTTTGAGCGCCACTGGTATCGCTTCTCTCCATTCATCTCTGCTGTTATGTAGATGGTTTCGTGGTGTTTGGCCTCCCCGACGTCCAAACATGAAAACTCCAGAACGCTGTCTCCCATGAGGCAAGAGGTTTCAAAAAGAGCAATTTCATGCTTTGGATCACTCCAGACTTCACTTTGAAGCCATACCCAGTGGATCCAAGTTACCACTATATAAGGAACCAGGGTTTCTAAGTCTATGGTGATTGAAACCACTGGTTACCAGCTATAGTGGTAGCTGGTAACTGAATCCCGTGGGATACATATATACTGTAGTTTATCATAGTTTCAAGACCGCTATTGAAGCACATTTTTGTTTTTGAGTTTCTTCTATAGGACTTCTTCAGGGCCCAAGCAAGAAAGCTAGACCAACAATTGTCCATCGAACTGGTGCAACTGTACCTCTAATCCCATGGAGTCCCCATCCTTCTCCGCTTTTACCTCATTTTTGAGCTGCTGGTCATGAGAGGGATACCCAGAATAGTTTTGGAATGAATTAGGATCCAACCAACTAACCAACTTCAGCCTAACCAGTCTCTCTGTTGATGAGTACCCCTATCCTCAAGAAAAGACAAAAAGAGAATTGAGAGCTGCAAACCCTGATTTCGCTCCCAGAGTCTATAGGTTCAGAACCCTTTCGTCCTTCGACTATCCCAGGTTGGTCTCATTGCTCCGGCTACGACCGTCACCGCATCACGCCAAGGGGCCACAACCACAATGGAGAGGCACCACTGTAAGGCCCGCTCATCTTCGGATCGTCGCCTAAAACCGAAGGATCCACGCCACAAAAACATGAAACAAGAGAGGTTTTTGGGTGTTCTGCTTGAGTTTGGAGGAGGTCGAAGACTTGGAGAGGTTTTTTATGGTTTTTTGGGGGTGATCTGAACTAGGGCCTGTTGCCTACCCCGTGCCTGTTGCCGAGTCGAACGACGACGAATCGGCTTCAACTGTTGCCCTGCGAGGTGTCGAACGAACGAATCCGAAGCCTTGCTGTTTGGGTCCACACTCGACGTCAAGTTCTTGCTCCGTGGTACCGGTAGGGACGGAAAGGAGCGGTGTGGGCGGGGCGGCCGTGCCTTTAGCTAGCTCGGCGAGTCTCCGAAGAAGCGAAAAAGCGAAGACACGAAGCGAAGCGTTGGATCTCGTGACTAAGGGCCTTTTGACCTTTGAATCAATGCAACATGTCTTTGTCATCCATAAAAATGTTCCATAGTTGGAAGATCCAGGTATGTGGGATCCTGGTTCTTCCAGTGGACCTGTTTCTATATAGATGCTTTGTGCGCTTCCTACTCCAAGCATGATGATGAAAATAGTGCTTGCCAACTTGACAAATTGGAGATATGGACTGCTGATATTGATGGTGGGGGAAACATGTATGTATAAGTATACAATGCATACTTGGTTGATGCTATTCAGAGGTCATGGAGCACTGCGAGCGGCTCAAGTTGCTGGTTTGTCTTCATTTCCAATGTTTCCTCTGTTTTTGGAGTGTTTCTTTGCTCGAACTTGCTCAATTTGGGCTCCCCCACGCCCAATGCACAATGCAAACTGAAAGCCTTGGCGCCAGATTCGGTTCTTTTCACGTGAGACCATCCAGTTTGATGCATGATGATGCATGATGCACCTGCACGAAAGAAGCATCCATACCACGGCCCACAAAACCATAGGGTGCATTTGTCAATCCATATCTGTTTCTGGGCTTATTTCTGACCGACCCAGCAAAGTGAATCCGACCCCGGGTGCTTCTGCAGCAGAAGCCCTTGAAACGTCCTCGCGCTCAGAACCCCAAAACCCGAAACACACGGTTCGTCCACGCTTGCCAGTGCGGTGAAAGCTCGCGGCTCCCAGCTCTCATGCCCACTGATCCCCTCAAGATGGCAAGAATTGGACAAAGGTCCCTCATTTTGTTGTGGAAGTTCCAGGGACAGGTGGTTTTTCCGTTCTGCTTTTGCATGACTCTGACCGAGTTCAAGGCCTGTGACTTTGGGAAAGTGTGACGAGAGGCAAAATCTTCACATCCTGGTGATTTTTCCAATCTTTCGTGCAGCAACTGTGGTCTCTGATAGCAGCTCAGAGCTGATGGAAAACACCTGCAGCGTTCTGCAGGGCAAACAAACAAGTCACCATGACCAATCAGGCAAATGGTTCATCTCTTTGCCAGTTCACGACGTCGCCCCAGGGTGATTGTGTGGCCTAGAGCAACTTGACCAGCATGTCTAAACTGCTGGGTCTGCAACGCTCCAACCACATCACCGCCAAGCCAGCCACGCCGCGACAAAAATGGACGAAAAAAACACATTGCTCAGGCCCAAGCTTTCCCCTGAATCACACTCTTTGAAGGAGTGGGTGATTGGGTTGTCACACAATTCATAGACAAAGGCCTGGATCAATTTGGGTTACATGTTACATGAAGCTTAAATTGCGGCGCCAGGGGAGTGGAGGTGTTCAGCACTGATGTCACTGTACGTGCACGTGCCTTCCACCCCGAGGCAGCCTTAAGCCTTACAGGTGATGACTAGTTCAACACATGCATCAAGCAGCCTTGAACCTTCTTTCACCATCAAAGTCTGCCCCACACATAACCATGCTCCAGAATTTCCTTCGAATTTCAATCTTTTTTTTTTCCCTCTTGTCATTTCACACTGGCAAAAAGTCAAAACGACGACGGCGCTTGCGTGCACAAAGCCATCCGTCAAACCAATCACCACTTCCATGAGTTTTTGCCACTCCATTGTCCATGTTTATTGTCACGTTTGGGTGAAACTCCGCGCTGAACAGCTCTGTGGCTTCTGTACCAGCCGCTCACCGATCGTTTGTGGCAAGTTGCCTCTTCAACTCATCTTTTCCCAGTTTAATATTATGCCGCCTTTGTATCTTTATGTCAAAGTGCACAGTTTGCAACAACAAAACATATTACGCCTCTTACAATGGATGGAGAAGACGCACACGCACGGAGCAAAAGAAAGTCGCAATTTGATACATGGAATGAAACCGTCCAATGCTCGCAGTCGGGTCAGAAAGAGCCTCACAAAGCAAAACTGTTTCAAGAAGCAGCATTTAGAAAGAAAAGCTGTGCCACACTGCGCACACCAAGCCAGCCTCTATGGAATGAGGTAACCATAGCAGTCCAACCTGGAATGATTGGTTGACCACGCACTTCAACAAGGCGTTTGTAACAAGTATATTCCGAGTATTAACATGTATTTACTGAGGGGAGGACTTGGAGACACCGCATTTAATTGAAGCTTCTTCGTCTTCTTTGCTCCAGTTGCCATCCTGCGGAGAAGGCATTCAAACTAAAAAAGAGCTGACTAAACACGAACTGGTAGGTCATTGAAGCTACTGCAACTAGCAAACGAGTTTGTGGCACAAACAACGGCTCCGCCTGTTGGCTAAATATATCAATTTGGAAGGCGTCACATTGGACTGTGGCTGCATTTTCGGTCTTGATCGCCTGAGAGCTGAACGACAATACCACCCATACACTTGTGCCTTCAAGAAAACATGTTCTGGCTTTTTTTCACTGTCTGCTTTGTCTTCTACTCAACATCAACTAAGGTACTATTGGACATGAACGCAAACGATGAACTCACAGCACGTGCTGCAAAGATGGTCGCTCTGCTTAATCTTTCTCATTGCCCGCATCTCAAAGCTGTTCAAAAACAAAATGAAAAATATTACATTTGAGGTCTGCACCTTCTTCAGATCATCTATGTCACCAACCGCTCCTGTGATTTTGAAGGCATTGCCGATGAACTCGAAGCCGCCATTGTCGTCCTGCAAGGTCAACAGCCGAGACATTCAAACTCAACCCTTTCCAACCGTGTGCTACTCGCATTTACTTACCAAAGGGCACAGCAAAGGAACAAGAGCATGGCAGAAAATAAAACAAAATCTTTAGTCTAAATCCTCTTTATCAAATTGAGGAAGATTATTAGAATACATATTTCATAAATCCTGAGGAATGAACGACCCTGCAATCTTCTCCCTAAAAGTCCTGAACCCGGCCAAGTTCGTAGCATGACAGTGTATTATCTTGCACAGTGGACTTGCCCTTCATCACGCTTTATTTTGCATATTTTGCGGGAAAAGAGCATGAACCTGAACGAACGGCGATAATAATCTTCAACCGAACTGTCCGAAAGTCATCAGTGCACTGCTTTGGTCAGAACAACGACTTTGCTGAAACAAAAAGTTTTTACACAGTCATTGAATGCACTTCTCTGCAGTCCTTGCGGATTTGTCTCACCCAAACAGCTGGTGGTGCAGTCGCAGTACCACCTTGCAGGGAGGAGGTATGGATGCTTGTATTACTTTATCTAACAACTTCGTGATTGTCCATATATATATATAAATCTCAACAAGTTTATTCAACCTCCATCCACCTCCTCTTTGGAACAGCGTGTGCAAAACAGAACCAAACACGAAAGAGAACCTGTTTTGGAAACACCGTCCTGATGTTGGCAAAGGAATATTCTGGGCTCATGGGCAATCAGCAGCTTCATATGATAAGACGAGGGGATGACAGCCCATTTCCGGTCTGTGCCGGTGAAGATGGGTGGCAAACCAAATGTGACAGTGACGGCATCCTTGTTGATGACCCCGCCCACGTTCTTCTCCGCAATCATTTTTGCACCTCCGTCTGTCTCCGCATTCTGCACCAAAGAGAAGCCTTGCTTCGCGATGTTCTCGAGGTGAGCCCTGGCCGCTGCATTTTCCACACACGAAGGCAGCCGGGGCATTGCATAACTGCAAAGGGGTCAAAGTTGTCCCTCTTCCGCATGAGGCTCTCCAAAGCCTGCTTGGTGGTGTAAATGTCGCCACCGAAGTAGTTGTAGAACATCTCTGCCAAGTCTTTATCCATGCCCCAATCATCTTTCAGCATTTTTAGCATGTTAACCCTTGGTACTTCTCCAATGACAATGACTTTGCCTATGTCCCTGAGGTCTAACCCTGCAGCTTGCAGGCGGAAGGGATACCCAAACTCTGAAGATATCAGCAGGACACTTGCTTGCTTTGTCTGCTTCGTCCATTTTGTGACGGCTTGTAGAGCTGACTTGGCCGCCGTGTTCGCATCTTCACCAGTCCGGGCAATGCCAAATTCGCCTCATCCACAATGAGACTGGGGGTCCTACCACTCCTAATGGTCTTGTTAATGAAGTTTTACATATTTATTTGTTTTGCTTGGACTACAACATCCAGCACACCCTTTGCTGCGTCTCCGGCTCCTGCAAGTCTCTCGCCTGCTCCTTTTCGTTTGTCCATGCACGCCTGTGTGAAGAGTCGACTTGACTTCTTCCTCAACGTCGATGAAAGTACGACCATGCGCCGCTTGCCGCCGCCATTCTTGAATGTTGGATACCAAAACCGTCCAGCGCGTTGGGCCCAGGCATGGCTTGCGGAGCGAGGAACGTTTCACCCAAAGAAGCCCCACCGGCCACGAAGCTGGTCCATGAGGAACATGCATGGCGAGACAAACTGCTTTGGATCTGAGTCCCGAACAAAGCGCTAAATATACTTGATGCATCGAACGATGCACTGATTTCAACCAGTTCAAACTGCTACAGTAGAAGGCCTCAAAAGCAGGCATGTGTCGTTTTTGTTTCAACAAATGCAGCAGGTCTCGGAGCGTCACTGGCGCCGTGTTCTGAGTCTTCCCAGGATGCCAGCTCTCAGCAATAAAAAAGCATGATCATGACAGGAAAATGCTTGGTCTCGCAGCGGGTCACGAAAATTGCGAACATCGCAGCTTGAAGTTATGCATCACAAACTCAAGAAAGAGCACCTAAAAGAACAACGATCCACGATGACCACATCGTTGCGGGCCAACATGATCTGCAAATCGAGTGAGTTGATGTCTTCAGACCGAACTCGACTTCCGGGAACCGCTCGACTTACGTTCACATGGCACATAAACGTTTATGCACATACTCTCTACGTATGTTCAATCTGTTGCCAGTGCCCGAAGTTGAAGCGGTTCCGTTCGCATGGAAATCAGAGTCCAAGACACCTGGAGACTCAGGCAAAAAGCCTGCGGCATTGACTTGAACGCTCTGCAAGGTGGAATTGCGCGTCCTTTGACAAGGCTCGACATGTCTCGCATGCCTTCCACCCCTCGAGCTGTCGTTAAAGACTTCAAATGAGCGGTGTCAAAAACCATCCGGAACTTGATTAATAAACTAGAGATTGTAACACCTTTCACCAATCCCTTCACAACGCTTTCGCGGCTGCATGTTTTCCTTTTGCCGACCCACTTCACCGAAAAACCTCTTTCGCTCACGCTTTTGCCGTGCTTCTGCTACTTACACCTATATAAGAGAAGTACCAGCAAAGGGGAATCAACCCTAATCTGCAACCACTGATTTCGCCGTATCTTCGCAAACCTTTCGCGCTCGCCTGGTTATCAGGAATCTTTTTGGGGCTTTAGAACAAACATTTAGATTACTTTGCACTGAAAACCTCCTTTGCCAACCCTTTCGCAACAAAATCCATGTATCATCGTTTATCAACAATTCAAAGCCTCAATAAAACTCTATCCAAACCTTTCACCAAGCTTTCCCCAACTGCAGCTTTCCTTTCGCAAAGATTCATAATATATTAAGCACTTTCTTTCGAGGTTTATGACGGCTCAAATGGCTCCACTCAGTCGATCTCTATTCAGGAGAAGCTCGGAGATCGACACGAGATCTGTGCGTTGCTCAGTCTGACAGGAGACCGACCGCCGGCAACGAGCCCCTGGAAGGTTCGGAAAATTGGGCCAGTGGGTCTCCTCATTTCACCTGGTTAGTGGTTTCAACTCGCTTAGAAAAATAGGAGTCTGGTTCCATCATCCCATGTATGTAAAGGTATGTAAAGGTTGACAACTAGACGGTATCGAAAACCACCACCATCCACGCACCATTTCATGTCAAGACTTCAAACTGTTCCACTTCGGGTTCGGCGTTGGACGTCTGCGACTGGCATCTCACGACGAAGCTCGTCGATGTGTTCGTGCAGGGCGACAGCAAAGTCGCTATGTCGTGCGGTGATGCAAGACAGGAGAGCTGACCTTGGCAGTGGCGCCAGGCATGCATGCGGGCAGGCCGACGTGAACGTCGAACTTCTCAGAAGCTCTATGTCATGCAGCATGACAACATGTCCATTGCATGTGTAGGGATTTGATTGAAGGGGATTCGCGTCAACGTATGGAGCCTGACAGCTTGCTTGACATGTGCTGCAGTTGTCGAGCAGCAATGACATTCTGCGTAATCTTCGATCCAGCATGCCTCAGGTAACACAAGATGCCGCCCTCAGCCCTCACCAAGTGCTTCCTACGGTCCCATGCAATCGATGCACTTAGCCGCTTCAGTCTTGCAACAAGCCAGATCAACATTGAACATCATCGGATCGTCAGGCAAACAACAAAATGAACTGCACCATACACTCCATGTATGCCATATATGCCTACATTGACCCCCAAAGCACCCCAACTGATCGGCATATATGGCAGTCCCATGGAGTCTATGGGATATACAAGCACACATTGATTTACCGTGATCTAACCCCCAAAAGTGGCCCAAAGTCTGCACCAAGGCCACGACTGCCCCTCAAAGTCTCCAAACCAGGGGAGGTTCAGTGACAACTAGGGCCGTACTATGCTGGGGTACCTACAGACTATATGCTGGGAGTCTTTTGCCGGTTCCTCTGGAGATCCCCTTTCTTCGTGCCACGTGGCGGTCGTGCACTGGAGCCTTGGCGGCCGCCGGCGCCTGCAGCGCCGCCAGCAGCCGTGCCGCCGGGCGCTGCGGCAGCTCGGCCAGCGCGGCGCGGAGCGACGGGAGGAGCGTGGCCAGGAGATCGGCCAGGTCCTCGGAGACGGGAGTGGAAGTCTGGTGGAAACCTAAATGCCGAAGGACAGACCGAAAGAAGGTGGAAACTATAGGATGTGACTGCAGGATTTGGACGATTGTAACGCCGTGAAGATTGTCCGGCGTTCGAAAATTGGATGTGTTGGGTGAAATTGGGTGCGGCTGGTTGCTGTGGTCTCTCTTCTTTTTGATGTGAGTGTGGGTGTCGTTTTTTCTTCAGTTTGGGGTGGAGCGGACAGACTATCCACTCGGGCAGTGCAAGGTGGTAGATTTGCTTGCCAAGCCCGACTGGTCGTGGTGCTCGAGAACTATAATATATAGTTAAATTAGAAGGTGACCCTAAACCCCAAAACTCAGCCCTAAACCCCAAAACTCAGTTGAAAAGAACGAAAATCACCCAGAAGTTGCTCAGATCCACTAGACTAGGCGGCCATGTTCTGAATCTGTTGCCGCTGGCGCTTATCCAGTGACATGATCAAACCTTCATGTTGTAGGTGACAATAGTTGCAAGCAGCGCCCGCGGTACACTCGCCCTTCATGAAGCGCACACACGGCCGGCGGCACAGCACCGGATGGCCCACCGTGCCCAAGCTCGGCGCGACCTCATCAGCGCTGGTGGAGGACCCGAGCTCATCAGGTGGATCGACAGGTGGAGGACCCGTCTCCGTCTGGGCCTCCTGGCGAGAGAGAGAGAGAGAGAGAGACAAAGCCTAATAGAGATGGCCTCCAACCTAAGAGCGATGGCCTCGAACCTAAGAGCGATGGCCTCCAACCTAAGAGCGATGGCCTCCAACCT